TTTCCCGGGGAATGTGTTAGTAGCTGAATTTATAATAACTTTGGTATTATTACCCAACACAAGCTACATTAGTCTGATCATAGATAAGCCTGCTTAGATTTAAAAAACACCACCACTGCATATAACAGTTGAGTGCTACTGTTGGTATTTCCACATAATGTAGTAATTGACTATATTATTAGAAACCTTTTGTACTCTGCAGCAGACGTTTTCAACTTCAGTCAAAGGAACAGATAAGTTACAGTTTTCATGTTACAGCTGAAATATAAGACAGCTACAAAACAAAAAACTTACCACTGTGAAACGTCCTGCTCCAGTCTTTGTTGTGAAGGTGGTTTGGAGTTTATCAGCTTGTGTTTCTTCACTCAGACTGATGAGAGTGAATGGCCGCTGTTGTTATCTTAGCCATAGTGGGTTTTTAGCAGCTCATGTAGCCACCCGAGATGAAACTCAGTTAAGGTAAGGGGCGTGATGTTTCTGATACACGCCCTAAGCAAGGCAGGACATAAGCCCAAACACAGTGTTTCAGATTGAGATGCTGCAGCAATGGGCAGTATAAGGACAAAAAGTGTTTGTTTGTTTTTTTACATTAAAGCACAAAAAACTATTCCACTAGACCCCACTATTACAAATATGACCCTGAAAATAAGCATAATAGCCAACAGGTATTCTTTAAGCTCTAAGTAGTGCCTGTAGGTCCTTCTCTCAAGCAACTGGTTTTGACAACTGTGAACAAAATGCCATTGTTCTCTGTCCACACATCTGATATCAGTGGGTTAGTATTACTAGGACTCCTCCGAGAACCGTCACCTTATTGTGGTGGAGGAGTTTGAGTGCCCTAATGACCCTAGGAGCTTGTGCTGTCGGGGGCATTTCGCCCCTGATAGGGTTTCCCATGGCAGATTGGTTCTAGGCCAAGGGTCAGATGAAGAACGGTTCAAAAGACCCTTCATGACGGAAAACAGCAAGAGTTGGCGTACCTGGCCCGGAGGGTTACCAGGGCCCTGCCCTTGAGCCAGACCTGGGGCTGGAGCCTGTGGGCGAGTGCCTGGTGGCTGGGCCTTTGCCCATGGGGTCCGGCCGGGCCCAGCCTGAACCGGCTACATGGGCTCGTCCCCCTGCAGGCCCACCACCCGCAGAGGGATCCAGAAGGGTTCAATGCAGTGTGGATCGGGCAGCAGACCAAGGCGGGGGCCTTGGCGGTCCGATCCTCGGCTATGGAAGTTGGCTCTTGGGACATGGAATGTCACCTCTCTGGCGGGGAAGGAGCCGGAGCTTGTGGAAGAGATTGAGTGCTACTGGCTAGATATAGTAGGCCTCACCTCGACACATAGTTCCGGCTCTGGAACCCAAGACCTCGAGAGGGGTTGGACTCTCTCCTTTGCTGGAGTTGCTTCAGGTGAGAGGTGGAGGGCCGGGGTGGGCTTTCTGATAACCCCCAGACTCTCTGCCTGTACGTTGGGGTTCACCCCAGTGGACGAAAGGGTTGCTTCCCTGCGCCTTCGGGTCGGGGAACGGGTCCTGACTGTTGTCTGCGCTTATTTGCCGAACAGCAGTTCAGAGTACCCGCCCTTTTTGGAGTCCCTGGGAAGGGTGCTGGACAGTGCCCCAACAGGGGACTCCATTGTTCTGCTGGGGGACTTCAACACTCAGGTGGACAATGACAGCAGGACCTGGAGGGGCGTGATTGGGAGGAACGGCCTGCCCAATCTGAACCCGAGTGGTGTGCAGTTATTGGACTTCTGTGCGGGTCGCAGTTTGGCCATAACTAACACCATGTTCGAGCATAAGGATGTCCATCGGTGCACGTGGCACCAGGACAGCCTAGGTCGCAGGTCAATGACTGACTTTGTAGTCGTATCATTTGACCTGCGACCATATGTTCTGGACACTCGGGTGAAGAGAGGAGCAGAGCTGTCAATTGATCACCACCTGGTGGTGAGTTGGATCAGGTGGCAGGGTAGGACGCCACGCAGACCTGGCAGGCCCAAACAAGCAGTGAGGGTCTGCTGGGAACGCCTGGCGGAAGAACCTGTCAAGATGATCTTCAACTCCCACCTCCGGGAGAGCTTCGACCGCGTTCCGAGGGCGGAGGGGAACATTGAGTCCAAATGGGCCTTGTTCCGCTCTGCCATTGTTGAGGCGGCTGCTGCGAGCTGTGGCCGCAAAGCCGCGGGGGCCAGTCGCGGCGGCGGTCGCCGACAGGCTGAAGAAGGAGGCCTACAGGGCATGGTTGGTCTGTGGGTCTCCAGAAGCAGCTGACGGGTACCGGCGGGCCAAGCAGAGAGCAGCAGCGGCAGTCGTGGAGGCAAAAACTCGGGCGTGGGAGGAGTTCGGTGAGGCCATGGAGGAAGACTATCGATCGGCTCCAAAGAGGTTCTGGCAAACCGTCCGGCGCCTCAAGGGAAGAAGGAGGCAACTTGCTCACACTGTTTACAGTGGGGGCGGGGAGCTGCTGACGTCAACTGGGAACATTGTCGGGTGGTGGAAGGAATACTTTGAGGAGCTCCTCAATCCCACCAACACGTATTCCAGTGAGGAAACAGAGCCGGGGGCTCGGGGGCGGGTCATCCAATTTTGGGGGCAGAAGTCGCCGAGGTAGTGAAAGAACTACGCGGCGGAGCCCGAGGGGTGGACGAGATTCACCCTGGATATCTCAAGGCTCTGGATGTTGTAGGGCTGTCCTGGCTGACACGCCTCTGCAACATTGCGTGGACATCGGGGGCAGTGCCTCTGGAATGGCAGACCGGGGTGGTGGTCCCCATCTTAAAGAAAGGGGACCAGAGGGTGTGTATCCAACTACAGGGGGATCACACTCCTCAGCCTACCTGGTAAAGTCTATGCCAGGGTGCTGGAGAAGAGGATCCGGTCGATAGTTGAACCTCAGATTGAGGAGGAGCAATGTGGTTTTCGTCCCAGACGCGGAACCGTGGACCAGCTCTTTACCCTCGCCAGGGTGCTGGAGGGGGCATGGGAGTTCGCTCAACCAGTCCACATGTGTTTTGTGGATTTGGAGAAGGCTTACGACCGTGTCCCCAGGGGCATCCTGTGGGGGGTGCTCCGGGAGTATGGGGTTGGTGGCCCTCTGCTAAGGGCCATCCATTCCCTGTACCGAAGGAGCACGAGTCTGGTTCGCGTGGCTGGCAGTAAGTCGGACCTGTTCCCGGTGAGGGTTGGACTCCGCCAGGGCTGCATTTTGTCACCAGTTCTGTTCATAACTTTCATGGACAGAATTTCTAGGTGCAGCTGAGCGGTGGAGGGTGTCAGGTTCGGTGACGGGAGGATCTCGTCCCTGCTATTTGCGGATGACGTGGTCCTCCTAGCTCCATCGAACAGTGACCTCCAGCTCTCGCTGGGACGGTTCGCAGCCGAGTGTGAAGCGGCTGGGATGAGAATCAGCACCTCCAAGTCTGAGGCCATGGTCCTCAGCCGGAAAGGGTGGATTGCCCACTCCAGGTCGGAGGGGAGGTCCTGCCTCAGGTGGAGGAGTTTTAAGTATCTCGGGATCTTGTTCACGAGTGAGGGTAGGATGGAGCGGGAGATTGACAGGCGGATTGGGGTGGCGTCAGCAGTGATGCGGACGCTTAACCGGTCCGTTGTGGTGAAGAGGGAGCTTAGCCAGAAAGCGAAGCTCTCAATTTACCGGTCGATCTACGTTCCAACCCTCACCTATGGTCAAGAGCTCTGGGTAGTGACCGAAAGAACGAGATTGCGAGTACAAGCGGCCGAAATGAGTTTCCTCCGCAGGGTGGCTGGGCTCAGCCTTAGAGATAGGGTGAGGAGTTCGGACATCTGGGAGGGACTCGGAGTAGAGCCGCTGCTCCTCCACATCGAGAGGAGCCAGTTGAGGTGGTTCGGGCATCTGGTAAGGATGCCTCCCGGACGCCTCCCTTGGGAGGTGTTTCGGGCATGTCCAACCGGGAGGAGACCTCAGGGCTGCCCCAGGACACGCTGGAGGGATTACATCATCCGGCTGGCCTGGGAACACCTGGGGGTTCCCTCGCAAGAGCTGATGGAGGTGGCTGGGGAAAGGACTGTCTGGACTTCGTTGCTGAGGCTGCTGCCCCCGCAACCCGGACCCAGATAAGCGGAGGACGACAAGACGAGACGAGAGGAGTATTAATAGGAGTACTAGGAGGATAATCCCTGAGGATAAAGGCCCAGTATTTTTGCTGCCTAATGAAGGTTTAATTCTTCCCACACACATTCACAAACACTCATGCATACACACATTTACACACATTTGTATACATGCACACATGCACAAACATGTAGACACAAGCATCTACATGATTTGACCATTTTATCCCACTATAGGGATTCTCCTCCACCGTACCGCCAGCTCATGTATATTCTGCTATTATCAAACATAAATGGGATTCAGCTCCTGGTCTGTCAGAGTGCACAGTGCTGTACTGCATGGCAAGTCAATTTAGACAAGGCAAGATTAATTCTGCACGCTGTCCCAAATAACAGTTCTTTACCATATCAAGCCGACAGTACAGTATGTTATCTAAGCAGCAGAGTTTATCAGCAAGAAAGACGTAAAGCTGCAGCCTCAGTAGGAGGACAGCAATAGATACACGGACAGATTTAACGTATGCACAAATGCTGAATAATAATAAATAACAGAGGCGAACCAGTTTTCAGACAAACAAGTTGAAAAGTACAACACTGTAGTATTGACCATATACATCTTGAGACATGAGAGCAGCTATGTCTACTAAACTATACCCAACACTTAGCAATCAGATCACATTTGGTGCGCTCAACAGCTGAAGCAGTTTAATGCTACCTGGAATCAATTTCACAAATACTGAATAGAACAAAGCAGGTAAGACCAGCGTACCTCTTATGATATGAAGATTATTTAGGTGAAGTACAACAGATAAGGTCTGCATATACTGTACACTGTACCCACTCTGTGTCATTTCCATTTAGATAAAGTCAAGTATTTCTAATTTTAAAATGAATACCTTTCCTGTTGTTGTGATGTTTACCTTGACAAATATGTAGTCGTCCTGCACCAGCAGTGAGTTGTGGTCGATTTTGCCGAGAAACTGAGCCGTCACCATTTTGTCTGAACAGTTTTGAATGAGACAGGTAACATACAGGTAACCTGCAGTGACACACACAAACACACACAAAGGAATTGTTACTGTTGGTAAAATGTAAAACCTAAAGTTGGTAAATAAAAAAACATAAGACATAATATATTGATATTTAGTTAAGAGTTATACAGTATTAAATATACAGTTATACATTTACTTATATTTCGAAACAGAAACAAAACTCTGTGCTGGATGGCTGTATATGACCATGTAATCCAGTAGCTCCCAACTAAATGTTCATGGTCCAAAAGTGGGTCGTAGGTCCATTCTGAATGGATAGCAAGTTACTCGCAAATGTGAAAATTTGTAAAAAAACTCTTTATTTTGGAGTCCAGTAAGTAACCAGCACAGAGCTTTTATTCTGAAGTGCAGTTTCCTGCTGTAGACTGAGTGAATAAGAGACAGCTACTTAACAGAGACAGCAAACTAGCTCGACAACATGACCAACTGCCAGTATGACGCTGAATATATTAAAGTGTATGGACTTTTAACTGATGACTAAGGAGAAATCTGGACCCTATGACTGGACCAGTTGGGAACCACAAATGTAAGCTATTTAAAGTGGGGATGGTGCATCAAAATATGTGTCAGTAAAAACTGAATTTGATTCATATGCATATGAATTTGAAAATCTCAACTTGAATAATTGCAACTGAATACGAAAACATAATCTATATAGCTCACCTCAAATGACTGCATTCAAAAAATAATCTGAGAAGAAGAGGAAAAAGAACCTATACATGCATTAAATGTAGAGATGTCAGAGAAAGGGGGTTGCTTTGGACAGGTGCCCTGAGTAGTTGGAGGCTTACTGCCATGCTCAAGAGCACCTTGGCAGTGCACAGGATGCGAACTGGCACCTCTCCAGCTATCAGTCCATGCTCTATACTTGGTCCTTACAGGGACCAGAGACCCTCTGGTTCCCAAGCCAAGTCCCTATGGACTGAGCTATTGCCAAGTAGCATAATTTGAAATTAAATGTATGAGTTTGGGACTGAATTCCAAAACACTTGTAACTGAATGTGATGTTATTATGAAACTGAATTCAGTTGCTCTGAAAGTATCTGATACCCTAAAAGTGGCAGAAATGAGAAAACAGGAGAAAACTGTACTTTTTTGGAACAATTCAGATTTAAGTGATTCAAATTCAGTTTCCTGTGATAATATAACTGCCCATAACAGTGAGAGACAGAAGAAATAACTAAAAAGATGAGACAAACTTTGCTTATGAGTATTTTTTTGCATTTTTTGAAGAGCAATTTCATCAGAACTGCACATGCGAAACCGGATCTCTTATTTTCCTCATCCATCCCCATTTTACTAATTATTTGCTGAGAGGCAATTTTATGTACATATTCTATTGAGGTACATAGGTACTCATTTGCTGATGGTTGTACATAAAATAAAAAAATAAGGAAAATCTTCCAAAAGCAGAAATCAAGCAATGGTATAAACCAGAAACAAAGAGCAACATGTTTAAATATTGCAAATTATACTTGGTTGAAGGGTTAGTACTACAGTAATCTCTTTCAGAGACAGACAGCGTAGTCAGTCTTGGAAAAGACAAAAAAGAGCAGTATGTTAAGCCATCCTGACATACATTTATATTTTATTGTTTTACACAAATAAGCATGAAAAACAAAAAAAAAACTATATATAAATGAATAAATAACAAAAAAAGAGAAGCAAAGAAAAACATGAATGGAAAAAGAACTTTGTTAGAGGTATAAAATGAGAGATTACATCAAATCCATGTGTCTGATCCATCCTAAGGTTTCTAATTCTCTCCATCTACAGATAGTGTCAGCAAGCCACATTTTAACGTCAGGTGTGCCTTTCCCCTTCCATAACATTACTAAGCATTTCTTAGCAAACATGAGACAGAAATTAAGAAAATGTAGATGAGACAATAAGAGATCACTCATACTCCCAGTAATTGTTAGAGGATCTGGCTTCAATTGGCAAATTGTATTAAAATAGTATTAAAAATATTGATCCAATAAATTTAAGTCTTAGGACATTGTACAGAGCTGTGAGCAAGGGTGGCCTTGCAAGTCCCACATTTCTCACATAAAGGTGACACTGAGGGAAGTAATCTTTGCAGATTCACATTTCAGTAATGTTATCTATGTACCAGTGTTAATTCCGACAGCTATTTTAGATTTAACCTTAGGCTTGCGACAAAAATGCTTATTAGATTTAGTCACATTTTAGTTATCGTATCCTTCACAGTCTTAGTCTAGTTTTAGCTGACGAAAATTCAAAATGTTTAAGTCATCTTTTATTCATCTTTTATTCATGTTTTTTTTTTTTTTTTTTTTTTTATCTTTAAATTAATCCAGTGAAACTAATTCATGTATCAGAAATGAGAATCAGTGTGGCAGGTTGTATAACAAATTAATTTAGACTTTTTCTTTCTGTAACTACAAATAATTTCTATACTTACAAATTGTCATTTCTCCAGCAGCTTTTGTTTAAAGAGTGATTCATGAGCACGCACTTATGGATCATCATTCGAAAAGCTCAACATCTCTCTATTTATGCTCTCAAAAACTTTTACTGTATTTTTTGTGACCTGTATACCTAAATATGTAAATTCATCAGCAGTTATCTTAAAAGGTAATACCATACCATACCAATTTATTTATATAGCATATTTAAAACAACAGAGCTGAGACCAAAGTGCTTTACAAGTAAAAGACTCACAATCACAACTCATAAATAAAAACATACACAGTGTCACATGAAGAACACCAATCACTCAGGCTGTGCTTGAAAAAGCCAAAGAATAAAAATGTGTCTTGAGGCGTGATTTAAACACCTGCAGAGTAGGGGCCTGTCTAACATGCAGAGGCAGCTCGTTCCAAAACTTTGGGGCTGCCACTGCGAAAGCCCGTTTTCCCCTGAGCTTCAGCCTGGATTTAGGGACGGCCAGGAGAAGCTGATCGGAGGACCTGAGGGACCTTGGAGGGACATAGGGTTCCAGCAAGTTGGAGAGGTAGATGGGTGTCAAGCCGTTAAGGCACTTGAAAGCAAACAGCAGCAATGATTTTAGGAAGGCTGGGTCTTGTAGTCTGATAGGCCTGATTTCACTCTGGGTCCAGTGGATATAGTATCGTGAAAAGCTACCGAAAAAATGATCAAGTCGAGGATAACAGTGTTTCCCATAGGTTTACAGCATATGGGGTGTAGACAGACACCGACACAAATATCTAAAGGAACCATGGTGAACAATTATTGGAACTGTACGTTGAACTAAACATTGGAACATTTCTTCTTCACCATCTTCACCACCCTTTGAGCATTTAAAAAACGCAGATATAGAGTGTGCTCACCTGTGTGTGCGCGCATATGTCTGTGTGTGCGCAGACGTGTGTGTGTTTGTTTGTGTGTGTGTGTGTGTGTGTGTGTGTGTGTGTGTGTGTGCGCACGCTAGGGCTGGGTATCCCCACTGATTTCCTGAATCGATTCCATTTCAGTTCAAGGGGTCCTGATTCAATCTGATATCGATATAACTTGAGATTTTTCAGTTACAGTACCAATTTTTTCTAGTATGTGAAAGAGATTCTCAGAGAACTAATAGTGTAACATTTACAACGAATTATTTTTTTTAAAAAGAATAAATTCACAACAGGAATAAAACTGAATAATTTATAACTAAATATTATTTCTAGAGCAGCAACAGTAATATTAAAATAGCAAAGCAACAATATAAACTTAAATAAAGTTAGTATAGAATAAAGAACACAGACATCAGTCAGTATCAGTCCTCCTGTCCTCTCTGCTCCTCTGTCTGCTGCTGAGGAGAGTCACTGACCTGCAGGTCACATGACCACAGGTAAGCTTTAAGATATGAGACAAACTGAGCTAAACTGCTTAACATAAACAGTTGTTGTTTTAGCTTGTTAGTAACAGCTAGCTATTAGATGGAAAGCACCCTGTGCTTGTTTATAACATAATGGGCCCTATTTAGATGGTCTAAAGCGGACGGCGGAGGACGCATAATCCATGTCGCAAGAGTCATTGCTATTTAGATGCAGGCGCAGTTGTCATTTTCACGCCCTGCGCCCTCGTCGTCTAACTAGCAAATGAACTTGTGCTTCTCTGGGTGTGTTGGTCTAAAAATGAGGAGTGGTCAGGCGCAGTCATGGCGCATTGCTAGTTAGATGACGTAAAAAGTAAATGTGCCAGTGACTAACAAAAACCTGGTCTAAAGTCAACAGTGCAGTATTTCGCTGTTAAACAAGTTAGTAATATGCGTCTCTAGGCGGGTGCATAACGCGCGTGCACTCTGCTCAGACACACACGGAGCAGCCACACATATGCAAAAGATAACAAATAAAAATATGATTACAATATGAAAGGTTATTATGTGCACATTAAAATATTTAGCAGAAACACGTCTTAATGGTCAGTCATTAATCAGAACAATCTAATCACAGTAATAATGATCATCATAATTTGTAATAATGACAAATGAAATTGTGAAGTTCCCGGCCTGACCAGGCTTGGGCCCGCGGACCGGGCCGGGCTCGGACTCGGGCAGAGAATCTAAGCTCTAACGCTTTCCAGTTGGTAGGTCCACCATCTAACTAGCTCTCCGCCACGCGCTCCAATCGCGCCTCTTTTAAAGGGAATGAGAGGTGACACTCTGATTGGCTTATTGAATGATACGCCCAAAACACACCCGTGACTAATTCACAGAGTAAGTCCAACCCTTTTAGACTCTCTGCCATGGCGCACAGTCTAAAAACGCGCTGTCTAACTAGCAAGTGACTGGGACACGCCCATGCGCTGCACGACTGGCTCTTTGCGTTTTAGACCATCTAAATAGGGCCCAATATTTGCGGCGGTGGATGAAAGACTGTGGACAGAGCAGAGTGAAATATCGCTTCTCTAAATGTTTACATGTTGCTGATCAGCTATATTGATAAAGTATTGGCTTTTTTCTCGAGGAGGTTTTATTGTACTGACAGTAACAAGCGTAGTTGTCATCACCAGAGGCAGA